TCAAATGAAAAAAAGCCATTAAGCACACAAATCCTAGTGCAGGCTCATCTGTCATAGCTACAGTACTAATCATCAGTTCCCCAGCACAGAATAATTCCCTAGCTGGCAACAAGATTGTCATGTCTTTTAATACTGCATGGTCTGTTCTCCATTCGGTGCTTGTAACTTCCATTAACATCAATAAGTATGCATATGTGCCTTGAGTGGTAGAAGATACCCCTGTATAGATTCAAAACTTGTTTACAGATTCCTCAGAAAAAAATCACATTGTGCTCATTGTTCTTGGCAGAAAGCTATCACAGATGCATTGGAACTTCTGCTTTTGTTCCACTTTTTTCTGACCAGAGGGACCAGACAATACACCAGAGCAGATAGCAGGTGGCGTGGAATGCCGAGGAAAATTATTCAGCTCTGGGAGTCTGCCAGCGGAAAGTGGGGTTGCAGCAGAAAGGTGGTTACTGAAACTGCAGATCCAAACCTGCAGTGGCAACCTCAGCTAAAAATAAGCAAAGGAGACAACCACCCGTGACGGCATATCTTAGAGCTAACCGAGTGGTTAGACTGAGCTCTTTGCTGTTAGTTCCTGTTAGAATCCAGGCAACTGGGAGCAAGCAACCGTTGCAGCCTTAAGGGCCAAACTGTGGCTGGCTTCTGCGTGGGCAAATACACTCATAGTTACAGGGAGATGTTCCTTGTCCTCACCAGCAAAATCAGGCAGGACCTGATCCTGCTGTTTGCAATCCCTGAATGAAAGGGCAATGTGGCTTTCTGGCCTGAAGACTGGAGCTACGGAGAAATACATGCTGCATTTTGTTTTTGTTTTTTAAAGCAGTGACTGCATTTTTCAAACCCCACTGAAGGCACTGTGTCTACCTCTGCCCTATTTAGGCATATTGGGGGAGATTTTCAATGGCACAGATGTTAGTTAGGGAATCAACTCCCATTAATTTTCAGCAGGAGTTGGGCACCTAACTGCCATCTAGAAAATCTCCCCCTTTGTCTCCAGTACTCCCACTTAGATGCTACACCTTTGCAACCCTGCATCACAGCTGTTGCTTGGGAAGAGCTGTAATTTAGCTGTAAGTAGTTTAAGGGTAGTTCAGCTTAGCAGCAGGGTGAGGATCCTGGCAAAATAATATCAGAAAAAGCTACTTAGGTATATGGAGTGAATACTTATTGAGGGCCAAATGCTGTCGTGATTTATATCCATACAACAAGACTCTATAGGGTTACACAAGGAGTAGTCAGGGAAGAACACTGCCCTTGAAATATGAAGCAACAGCCAGGGAAAGCTGGAATGGGAAAAAAATGCATTACATAATAAGGATCTTCTGACATATTTCTTCCATTAACAGGCACACAGCTAGGATGGAAAAAGCTGGTTATAAGCCAGGAAACATCATTCTTTAAATAAATTATTAGCCAATGTAGAAAACAAAAGGAACTGAGAACTGCATAAAGCTACTGAAAGCTCTAAATCCATTTCAGTCCAACTTCTGTTTAGCTCATGTGGCAACAGTTCAAGCTCATAGCAGGTGGTTAGCAGCTTGGGTGGGTAAGTAACTGGGAATTTATGAGAGGCACTGCCTTTTGAACAACTCCAATTACAGTATTAATTGCCTTTTTCCAAAGCTACATATTCTCCACAAGTTGACTGCTTGTAGAGGTTACTGAGCAGAAGAAATGCTTTTATCAGACAGAATTACAGAGCAGCAGGGTAGATGCCTCACATTCAGGTAAACACACACACGCGCACACACTTAAATGGGCACCATAAGTGAGGATTTTCAAGAATGACCTGTCTCTGCATCTTTTAAAATCTAATTTGCTTTTCACTGGTTTTACGATTTAATTGTTTGTATTGCAGCAGTGCCAAGGACCCCCCAGCTACGGACAAACACAGAAGAAAGAGAGGGTTCCTGTCTCTAAGAGCTTACACAGTCACTCTTTATTCTGTTCTGTTCCCTTCTGTATTTCTTTAAACCTGGGCAGTAAAAATACATCAGTCAGTTTCACTCCTCTTTATATTTGTTATGTGCCATACAAGACAAAAAGCAAGATAATGTCCCCACCCTGAAGGAGCTTACTTTCTAAAATCTCTCTTTCAGGTTGCCAAGCACTAGGGCAATGATATGATGTGGGATGCAAAACAGCTGTTTCTATTGGAAGTTTAAATCTCCATGGAAAGACAGCCTTAGATTTTGTAAAAACTGGGTTTTATAAATCCAAACATGTGGAACAAATGTCACCTGATGAAGGCCCTTTAATTAGTCAGGGGCAGGGGAGGGGCGGAGAGAAGAAGGAATAATATAGCCTGATAGTGTACACAGAGATATAAAAACATACCAATCAAATTAAAGAGAGGTCACAGGAATTTCTCTGTCTTAGAAATTGCTCCTTAAATCACAGACAACTTGAATATGCTGTGAGACAACACACACTGGAGCATTATCACATTGCTATATAATGAGGTTGGGCTAATGTGTGACAGCACAAGTTAAAAAGATTTTTACACTATAGCAAATTTGGAAACAAGAACCTTTATACAAAAAGCAATTTAAGGAGCCACTACCTTTCTGTTTCTGATGCTATTTATGTTTTAAACAAGGAAGGACTTGCTAACTTCCAGTCAAGTTTCTTCTATTTACTGTCAGAGTCATATTTTAAAAAATCTATTGCTATGGAAATTATTGTGATGTGACAGATTCAATATTTTGACTTCACCAGAATCAGGAAGCAGAAGAGAAAGTGGGTCACGAGACAGAACCCCGACCATTTTTTTCAAAATGGATCATTATAGAACAGAATAAAAAGAAAACACACATTGTATTAAAGATGATGTTGACAACTCTCTCCAGTGGTTGCCTGGGAAGTTAAATTAATTTTCTTCCAAATTAGCCAGTGGGCCAGATTATAGACAAGAGTTGGAATTATCATGAGTTGCCATTAAAGTATACCTGCAACATTTTTGTGCAAACATCTTTGCAAAATATCCTATATGTGTTTATAGAAAACAACAGCTGTGTTTCATAATTTTCCATAGTGGAACCTCCCTGATCCAATAGCACAAAAAGCTGAAAGGTCACTTGATATCAGACCTGTCAGTGATACAAGGCTGACTATTGTCTCTTTTGGGCCTTGGGCCAGTGAAATACTGTGGGGATAAATTCTGGAGGAAATGAAGGAAAATTGTGGTAAACAGCTTAGTTTTTTAAATGGCAGCAGTTTAAAGACTGGGTTTGGAGTGTTAGAAGTTGGATTTGGATCTGTGGGCAGAGTGACACAATGGAATATGCATGACAAATTCCATTTTCAGATTGTTTTACCTATCAACACATGTGAGATATAAATCTATGCTCTAATTCAATCTCTGTCTATAAATAGCCAGTTGAGCTAGGAGCTTTGAAATTTTTTTATTGCCTTTTTAAAATCTGATTGGTTAAAAAAGGGTTATAGCATGAGCAAACCCAACAAGTATTTCTGACCACAACCCAGCCCCAATGGACACAGACATGGAGAGCAATATACCACACCAGACATGTAATGTGGGGAGTGAGAGTAGACCAGCACTGACTAAAAATAATCTGTGTCATTCTGACCCTAAGGAATCCCTTTTACATCTCACACTAGCAAGCAGAACTAGCTTGATGTCTCCCAGTAGGGAGCATAGCTAGTTCTCCTGCTCCACTAAAGACAATTCTAGCCTGGAGGGGAGGAAGGAAAGATCCTAATAACTTGTTCCCTCCTAAACAGTTTTTGGTGGAGAAGGAAGGACCTCGTACCCTGCCTCCTTTTCACTATTTCTGCTGAGGGGTTGGGGTGGAAAGAGCGGGCACAGGTTTTGCCCTAAATTGGGAAGATCGGGAAAAGGCAAGAATCCTTCTAGGTTAATTAATCTAATAATGGTTTGTCAAGTTTCCTTTCCCACTCTGAACTCTAGGGTACAGATGTGGGGATCTGCATGAAAGACCCCCTAAGCTTATTCTTACCAGCTTAGGTTAAAAGTTCCGCAAGGTACAAACTTTTACCTTTTGTCCTTGAACCTTTATGCTGCCACCACCAAAGTATCTAACAAAAATAACAGGGGAAGTGCCCACTTGGAAACATCTCCCCCTCCAAAATATTCCCCCCCCCCCCAAGCACTACACCCCCTTTCCTGGGGAAGGCTTGATAAAAATCCTCACCAATTTGCATAGGTGAACACAGACCCAAACCCTTGGATCTTAAGAACAATGAAAAAGCAATCAGGTTCTTAAAAGAGAATTTTAATTAAAGAAAAAGTAAAAGAAAAACCTCTGTAAAATCAGGACGGTAAATACCTTACAGGGTAATCAGATTCAAAACATAGAGAATCCCTCTAGGCAAAACCTTAAGTTACAAAAAGACACAAAAACAGGAATATACATTCCATTCAGCACAACTTATTTTATCAGCCATTGAAACAAAACAGAATCTAACGCATATCTAACTAGATTGCTTACTAACTCTTTACAGGAGTTCTGACCTGCATTCCTGCTCTGGTCCCGGCAAAAGCATCACACAGACAGAGAGGACTCTTTGTTCCCCCACCCCCTCCAGCTTTGAAAGTATCTTGTCTCCTCATTGGTCATTTTGGTCAGGTGCCAGTGAGGTTATCCTAGCTTCTTAACCCTTTCCAGGTGAAAGGGATTTTCCTCTGGCCAGGAGGGATTTAAAGGTGTTTACTCTTCCCTTTATACTTATGACATGGTTGTGTTACCATTCCTTACAAAAGCCAATATTGCCTCTGGGCAATATACACCACCTCTGCATCTATTTTTACCGCTATAGTTCTGAAAGAGAGAGAGACTTTACTTTTGTAAGTACTCTTGTAATATAACTTTGTCTAGGAAAATGGTACTGGCATAGTTACTTAAACTACAGGTAATACATTTGCAGTGTTTCAGGAAAACTTTATTAATAGGTTGACCTTAACATTGGGTCTCTCTAACACCACATTTCTAAAAAATTGTATTATTTACCTTCAGTCTTGTCCGGTAGTTTCCCACTCTTACTTGTTCCAGAGTTGACCGTTTCAGATGAGGTGCTTAGTTTGGTGTTGGGATCTCGTTTAGGTTTTGGTGGAGGTTGTTTACGAGAGCAGCTACTGCTTTCATCGTCGGTACCCCCAACCGAATGAAGAGACTGGGATCTCACGGTAAAGCCACTAGAGCAAGGATGCGGCAGTCTGTCCTGAGGAGCAGGCATTGTCATAAATCCCATCCGGAAATGTTTGCCCACATAGCTTCCTTCATTTCCTCTCGCGACTTCTCCACCTATGCTGTAAGAGAAAAGACATACACATTCAGGTAAGGGATCTACCTGCATTTGAACAGCACCTACAAATGGGGCCTCTGGACATTAATATTTAATAATCAACATCTCATCATAAAAGCTTTTACATAAAAAAGTTTCAGTGATATACATTTCCATGGCGTGGGGTAGAGAGGGTAGAGGATATTTTTTAGTCTTTTTTAAAAAAAAAAAAAAAATCTGTGCACTTAGCTAACTTAATCAGAGACAATGAAAATAAAAACAGATTGTGAGGTCAGTTACAATGGTGTAAATCCACAGTAAGTCCAAAGAGGTACCCTGATCTAAAATAGTATAACTGAGATATGGATTTAGCCTTTGGAATTAAAGGGTGGAGATTTGAGATGGTCAACAAAAGGGGATAAAAATTAAGAATTTTAATTTTTTCCTCCTTTTTTAATTTGAAACATTTTAACCAGCTCTGTAGATAGTCCAAAATTGTGTGCATGAGAAGGAAATTTTGCCCAAAATGTCAATACTTTTTCTTATTTATTTTTCAAAAAGTTTGAAACATGATTTTTTTTTAATTCCAAAAATACCGACCAGTTCTAAGAAAAAGGCACCTAAACTGGCATTGACAAGATGGAGAAAGCCCATGTCCTTAACTTGCAACCCCTCTTTCAGATAGTATACTCGTCCTTCAGTTTTACAATTCTTTCTTGTGTTCCAGACTCGTTGGTGTGTCATGGCTGATTTGGGCCAGATCTTCTTTTCCTCTAAGGGACCTACCTACCCACTGGCTTTATTTTATAATCCTGCTTTAATGAGCCCATATATCCTGTGGAGTGTGGAGTATCACAAGCTGTTTAAAACTTTTTAATTTCCCTTCTAGCTCTTCAGCAATAGATACATTTTTCTCTTCAGCAAGGCTAAAAATCAAACCAGGCCAAACCATTCTGTAGCTATTACAAGCCAACACAGAAAAGCCTTCAGAAGTGAATGTCAGGTAAATTTTTCAAATCATCACAGCATTAAAACTTCTCTTCTGATTTTTACCAACCTTTTCAGGAAACAGTCACCTCTGGGATGAGATGCAGTAGGCAAATGTTCATGAAGAATCTCTCTTTCTCTCTCTGAAGTAGTTAGAGGGTGAGGTTTAAAAATCAGTAATAATAGGAAATCAGCTTCAGTTTTAACTATGAAATAGCTACTGCAATTCTACAAATACTGCTTTTATATTTTTATAAAACAGTTGAACCCCCCCCCTAAAATAACACTACTTTAAGTAGTTAATTTGACTTTTTTATCTGAAATATATTTTTCTGTTTCCCACTCTGACTTTTCTTTTTAAATGGTTTCCTACATGGCTTTTTTCACTCTTATCTCCGGTTTATACAATTTCATAGGGATGTTCACTGAAATCATTGTCAAGTCAAAAATCAAGTTACAATGTAAAATCTATATTTACTGCCATATCCCAAGCATTTTCTATTACTGATCCCATATGAAGATCTGAAGACTCTACAGAATTGTAAGCTCTTTGAACCAGGGATCATCTTTTTGTTCTGGGTTTGTACACCTCCAAGCACGGTGGGGTCCTGGCTTGTGTCCAAGGCTCCCTAGGTGCTACCATAGTGCAAATAACAAACAATAAAATAATAAAACATTAAAAAACGCTCATCCCATGTTATTTTAGGGTAACAAGCAGTTGACTTCTAAATTTTGTATGCTGTGAGAACAACATCTGGCGAGATATAATTAGTGCATTTTATCAGTCTGTGTCTATATCTAGTATTTGATATATGGTTGTACGCTTGAAACGTTAAAAGTAGTACTTCGACTCAGCTCAGATTTTATAGCCGTGTGACAAGAACCTGCCCACAGGACAAATCCCAAACATCAGAAGTTCAAGAGGAATCTTTTGGAAGAAGAGAGAAAATTGGTCTTGCAAAAAAGGGTATTACTTTAGAAATGTAGCACCATGGATTGATCTGTACTTCCAGGTACTCCTCTATGACTGTAGACATACATGCATCTCAGGAAATAAAAATCATGGGGTCTAGTCAATCCCTTTGGAATAAAAAGAATGCAAGGGAAAAATGCTCCAAAAATAACTCTCATACAGGGAAATGTAAACTCCACCTTATTATCCCATCAAATCTACATGAATCTGCAATGGGAGCAGCAACAAGGTAGTGAGGTAGAAGTGTGAAAGATGAATGGATAATGGGAATGCAGTCCAGATTCTCAGGAGACAAAATAACCCGGAATAATTTAAGTAAATCATAGGTATATGAGAAGGAAAACTCAGCTGACTTGGATCTGAATGTATAGAGACCGGTACCGAAACGCATTGGGGATGACAGTTCTGCACACAGTATTTCTTCTGCAGTACTTATCAGTTCTTATTTATGCTTATATTTCTGGAATGCAAACACAGTTTGTTTCAGTTAAAAACCTTCAGCAACACAATAAAATGAATGGGGATTATATCTGTAACAGATATCCAAACCATTCAGACAGCTAGTTACGTACACTCTCAGTTACATACACCTGAACCATATGGCCTTCATCACAATACATACAACTTCCACTCAATACTTATTGTCAGTGGGTAAAATGTTTAACTTGCACCCATTTTAATATCCTGTTTGAAGTGATCCTTCATTAGGATAATACTGAGTAAGGGGTCTGAAAAATTAATACACCTCTGTTTCCGAAAGCTAAGGCCATTTTTCTACAGCTCACTTGAGGATTGAGCAAGCCCTGTGCATCACATTATGCTGCCCTCCCTCCCTTTGATCTCTGGGGAATCATAAGAACACCTCTTTTTTTGTTTAATTACATACTTCTTGAGATGATAAGCTACAGCTTATATCAAATACGCACTGTGTACCAGATGAGATAATAGCACATTGACGATTATATGCTCCAAAAGCAGCAGCCTACCACATGACCTCAGGGAGAATCTCTATTAGTTCACAATACTATTTCCCCTCTTTTCTAAGTTCCAGCCACTAGAAGAAGAGTCTATTATAAAAGGCTAGAAATTGAACATGTCTTGACATATTCCATCCATTAGAGGCAGTGATGCACATATATATAAACTAGCACATGTTTACAACCAACTTATTATTGAATCAGGCGTCGATTCCAGAGGGATTTTCAAGCAAAAAAAAATCAAAGGTAGTACTTGATGTTTTCCTCCACAATTTGAAGATTAATAATTAAAAACTACTAAGCAATCAACCAACCAACCGGTGGCTGATTTAAATGATCAACTAATCTTTCCATAAATTGTTCTGATAGTATAATGCTCTGATTCGCCACAACAAAAAATGCCTGTCACATCATTTAAAGAGGATTACCATTTAAACGTATTGAAGGATGCAGGTAGGAGATCCACTTTAATCCTTAATTCTACTGTATTTATATATTGTGACAAAGTTCCTCCTCTACCTTGGTGGGTCTTGTGCTTATTGGTGGATTTGCTCATCTTGGAGCTTCACAGCCCCCCTCAGTTTGGCTGTTTTTGTGAATCCACAGTCCAGGTCAACTCCTCCTGTGTCTGACCAGGAGTTGGGAGGTTTAGGGGCCCACCCTCTACTCCGGGTTCCAGCCCAGGGCCCTGTGGAATGCAGCTGTCTAGAGTGCCTCCTGGAACAGCTGCGTGACAGCTACAACTCCCTGGGCTACTTCCCCACCTTCTTTATCCTCACCATAGGACCTTCCTTCTGGTGTCTGATAATGCTTTTACTCACAGTCCTCCAACAGTCCACATTCTCACTCTCAGCTCCTAGTGCCTCTTACTCCCAGCTCCTTACAAGCACACCACAAACTGAAGTGAGCTCCTTTTTTAAACCCAGGTGCCCTAATTAGCCTGCCTTAATTGATTCTAGCAGCTTCTTGATTGGCTGCAGGTGTTCTAATCAGCCTGTCTGTCTTAATTGTCTCCAGAAGGTTCCTGATTGTTCTGGAATCTTCCCTATTACCTTACCCAGGGAAAAGGGACCTACTTAACCTGAGGCTAATATATCTACCTTCTATTACTCTCCTCTAGCCATCCGGCCTGACCCTGTTACAATATATAGGCACATTTGTTATGTATACAATGCTCTGAATAGAATATACTAATCAGAAGTAATGATTTCACTTCCATATAGAGATGTTTAGATTGTATACCATAGACCAAATTCTGTCCTCAGAAATTAATGTACACAACTTTCATTGTGGTGGTGGTTTTCCCCTTTGTCTAAGAAAACAAAGGACCAGGAAAAATGCCTGTGGATTTTATCATCCCTTCGAATGATCTTACACTCCCCAATAAAAATTCTATTTCCTCTAGATTTGCAAATCTTTGTTATATGCCAAATTTACTTCTAAATTATCTGCAAGTCATCATAGACTGACATTCCAAAAGATTTAGATTTGTCTTGGGCTTTTTCCCATCTTTAAAAGCTCTGGTACTCCTATAGTATAGTAATTCTGGAAAGTCTCCTATTTGGCAGAGAAATGGGCATTTGGAGGTCACTTTGAAATTTCGAGCGATCAGCACCTACTCTTGAAAGAGATGCTTACTACTGGTTACACGCGCGCACACATGAGTGCACGCACCCACCCACGGCTAAGAGTATGCCAGTGCCATAAATTACATTGACATATTAAACTACTCACGCACCCGCCCGTTGGCTCAAAGAGCACCAATGCAATAAATTGCATGCCAGTTAAATAGTAAACTTTACACCTCTACTATGTTTACCCTTGAACAGCTTTCATGATACTAACTACTGAAGATTTCCTAAGACCTGCCCCTGCAGGAGGTGTGCAGTGTTTGCACCTATAGCAAGACAGAAGTATGAACACAAATAGCCAGAACAAACCTGATGTGTCCCAAGCAAGGACATTTTTTCCACAGGACATTTTTTCATTTTCTGTCTAATTCTTACACATGTACACTAGTAACCACCAAAATGGCCTTTATTAGTAGGGCAGACACACAAAGTTGAATCAATCCCTGGAGTTCCCCAA